CCCTAGGGACAAGCCTAGGTCACATAGACCTGTGCACACATATCGCAATTGATGCATGGGGCCTATTTCTCGCACATGTATGTGCAACACCTTGAATGGTGTTCACTTCCCGATATAGCTTTCACATATACATGCCGTGTGATGGTCATGATGAGGATATGACCCTTGTCCCTTCAGGGCTACCAATCACTCAAAAGGGCTACAGAGTCTCTTGGCTAACTACCTTAGGCATCTCTTCGATGACATCAAGGGGTAACCATGCTAACCCTTCTCGGTTGTGTTATATGCTCAAGTTTCATAGGGTTTTAGAACTCAACTGGCCTAACTCATCAAACCTAGTTTGAGTCTCAGCATCAGTATTGTCAACTTCGGTCCCTCTAGACCGTATCCCATTGGAGGTTATTGTTCCACTATCATAAAATTCATTACATGCTCGTTTAAGGCCTTTAAATGGCTACAATGCCCTAACACTGTGGACCCTTGGTTTTCTCCCTCTCTAAGTTGTGGACAACTGTATATTCATCTCTCTTCTTCAACTTTTCTCTCTTCCTTTCTGGTTGTGCCTTGTGTCATGTAAGATCTTTATTGTTCCAAACGTTTTTGCCATTTATAACGTGAATTATATTGTACCTTGCCTTGTCCTAGCAATTGACTTTTATTAGTTTTGAAAGCTTGTACTAATATTTTGATATTCTTGTACTTTTTTTTCCATATTGTTATGTACAACCTTGGATCGGTCTATAAGAAATTTTGATGAATAAAATTCATATTCACCAAGTAACCTTTTTTGGACTATTTAATTATTAGTTTTTATGTTTTAGATATTTTACTATTGTGGTATGATATGAATGTTGTATGTGTAAATGCAAATGTGAATGACACATAGATTTTACTATATGTATATAAAGTCGTACACGTATATATAGATGCTTGTATATTGTATGGACGTTACGTGTCTAAAAGTCATTTTCTAGGGTTCATGTTTTTGACACTCGTATCCATGTCATAAATAAACACGTGTCCGTGTCTATGTAACATAGATTTGAATTTTTTCAGTGATATTTATATTTATTTTGTTTTGTTTTGGCTTGGTTTGAGGTTTTCTTGAGAATGTTTTCCCTAATCCGAAACTTTTTGGAGTTTCAGTTCATAGTTTTGTCAGGGATTTTGATCCAGAAGATGTTAGAATTGATTAAACTAGGTATCTTGTTTTTTTTTCTTTTTTAGTGATAATTGTAGTTATTTTCCTTTTTTTTTTTGGCTTAATTTAGGTTTTTTTCTTGAAAAATTCGAGAAAATTCTTAAATGATTGGCCTTTTTGTCATAGGTTGTGTTGAAAAGCATTTAGATAATTTTTCTACGAATTGTTTCTTTAATTTCTAATGAAACCATTTTTTTTGGGTCTCTAGTTTTTTTAAAATATGCTTAGGATTTTGAATAAATTTGAATTTTTGAAATATTGTGTTTGATTTGTTCTAGGTTGAATTAGGTTAGCTGGATAAATTTTTTGCTGCTTTTTAAATAATTTCTAATAAAATTATATTTTTTTTCTTGATTTTAAATTATTTTGGAAAAAAACCAACTTCATGATGTTTGGGGCTACGACGTTAAAATTTGAATTAGCTACCACGACGTTCTGTAATTGTAAATAGGCCCTATGTTGCACCAAACCAGGTCCAAATAAATTTTACCAAAGGAGAACATAACAAGGCATCAGGTAGAAACGAGGGCCTATTACCTCTCTTGGACCGGGAATTATTTTTGGATGAGGCTGTCTTTCAGTTTTCAGTTTTAGCTTGTCCCCCCATGTCCATTGCCACCATCTCCTTGCAACTTCCACTATCAATGATGATATTACAAAATATAGACCTTCCTACGAGAAGAGCGTAGTGTGCTGATGATATTGGTTTTCAACTAATGGTTTTTTTCTCTAACATATTGCCCACTATGAGGAGATCGAAACAGACTAGCATCTGTTCTCTGACTGAGATGGAGTCAGGATTTGTGGTGAAAGACACTGTACCCGGAGGACAATCTAAAGGAAAATTGTGTTAAGCGGCCAAAACGATGAATCAACGAACAAGAAGGGGAGACCTGGCGAAGAGGATGTGGATGACAATCCCAGTCTGGGGGACTCATCACACATCGGGTAATTAAAGATTTACCATTGCCGGCACGCAAATCGGCTTCTTTCATATCAACACCGTACTCATCAAATTTCTTTTCATTGTTGCTTCTTTACCCTCGAAAGGGTTCTTTCCAACTTGTTCAACAAGGATATAATAATAGGAACTTGATTGTAATCAATTGGGAAGAGGATTGTATACTATGAAACCATTTATCATTGTCACAAGGAGGTCACAAATTGGATGGTTTGGGATATGTCATGAAGTTCTAGAAATTTTCTTTTGATCTTTAAGTCAAGGCAATGACACACTTACAGCCGCCTGATTTAAAATCTGACGGACAAGAGTGATTGTGGCCTCCTTATCTTGTACTAAAAGTAAATGGTTTCTTTGTGTAACCTTAACAATTTTATCTTTAGGCAACTCCTTTCCATTGAAAAATTGTTTGATGCTTTCCGAGCGATCTAGGAAATCATCAAGTTATAGTTTAACATGTGAATTTGCAATTTCATGCGAATTGCATTATCGCGACTGTGTCTCGAGGTCCTTATGAGACGATCATCAATTGGATTGTGAATTTGTGATTCTCCTCTGTTCCCAAGAAGTTCTTGAAATTTCATGCTGCCTCATCCAACCTCTTTCGATCACAGTCATTTGCGTTTCATGCGGTTGTGCTTGTGCTTCTTGAGGCGGCATAAGTTCCATTGGTTGATAATCTATTTGTCGTTCTTGCTCTCCACTTCCTCTACCATGAACTTCTCTTGCTGCCATTGCAATCTATTGATCGAATTGAGACAAAGAGCAAGTGTCACACTGAATGAACTTCCTCGGATACCACAAATGATGTAAACCAACCTTAGAGGAGACTTTCTCTCTGTCTAAACTCATAAGATGAATGGTAACATGAAACAAAAGCTAAATGGAATAAAAAGTTCAACAAGGAAATGAATTAAAGCTAAAATTCTAGAGGAGATCAACCATTGTTCATAAAATCGCCCAATCTAATCGCTAACTGTCCAGTTAGATAGGAACCGGCCAATGGCCGGTTCCGGTTTTGGGCAGTTAGGGTGATCAACTGGTATTTTATAAAAAAAATTTAAAAAATATGTATATAAATTCTAAAAAATAAGGAGTTTGATTTCTGATGCACTTTTAAATATTCTTTACATTATGGTAAAGATTAAAAATTGTTTTGGTCATTAATACTCACTTTTATATTTTCCCATCTTTTTTAGAAAATTTAAAAAATAGCCCTTGGAAAATATAAAATCGGTTAAAATCCATTTTTTCATTAATTTGCAACTTCATTTGAATGTGTTTCGTTTTAATCATTCTTTATATGCTTTTCATATTTTAGTAGATTTTTTGCCTTTTTTGTTTTTTTTTCAACACTTTTTTGATTGCCTGGGACTTGCCCGGTTAGAGTGGTTCAATAGGCTAGTTTACCTGTTAGGCCGGTTAAACCGCTTCCAAGCCCATGTTTGGTTAACCGTTTCGGTTTGATTTTGCAAACACTGAGACCAACAATAGAAAGAGCAATCAACCATGAGGAGGGTGCTCAAAAGAAGCCCTACAACATTTACTGTTGTTCAGTATTCAACGTAAAATTGAAAATTTGCCATAAAACCCCTTAAAATAAAATGCTCCAAACTTTCTCTCCAAGCTTTCTTTTTGCTAAAATTGGCAACCCAACTTTTTCATCAGAATGTGGGTCCTTCCCTATTCATGGGAAAGAAACCTGCCCATGGAATCCCCAAAAACCCATTAACCAATTCCCCAAATTACATGCTATAAATGTTTGAAGAGCATAATTCAATACCCTAATAAACTTTTTACCATTCCCAAAGTAAGCATGCTCCTAGATACCAAAATTGCTCGGTATAACCAAGTTTCGGAGCTGTGCATCACCAATTTATCTTTTACACATCCATTCGAGCTGTAGCAATCAGTATATCCAACACAACCCTCAGTACTTGCCATAAATGATGTAACTCATCTGTGTCTTGCTCAACTCTTAGAGATCCGTTATCAAACAGATGTACCCTTAGGAAAATGTTCTGATAATCATCCCCTTTTATGTTGCATGGGATTTCCATTTTAGCAGAGCTTGTGCATTTGTTTCTCATCTAATTGTCCTATTATAATGGCGTTGATACTAGTGACAACATGTTTTCCCATTTTTGTGGATTTTAGATGTGATGGTCCATGTCGATGTGATATCCCGTGTATTCTGGCATATGATTTTGCTCTTTGATGCATATTTTGATTTGTTGCCTTTATGTTGGTGTGATATCAAGTGTGTTCTGGAATGTGATTTTTGTCTTTGATGCATATTTTGATTTAGACAACTCCAATTAATTGGGAAACGGCTATGATGATGATGATGCATATTTTGATTTGTTGTCTATGTGGTTTTCCTTTTATGACTTGTATTAACTCCATAGTGGGTAAGTTGCCATGGTTATAATTAGTGATTGGCATAGAACAAGTTCTATTATTAATTTTGCCTCCAGATTTTATTGTGTCTTGTCCATCACATTTTGCCTATTTATTCCAACTTTTAAGATCTGTCAATGTTTGACTGGTGGTTTTAGTTTGTGGGTTTATGCCCCATACGGCCGAGAATTAAATCTATCACAGTGCTTTTGTACTTAATGAGATTTTACTTCCAATCATATGATCAAGATCTATGCCTGGTTCTTGTCTGGAACTATTTGCTCTTGCTTATTTGAATATTCGTTGTGATTATATTGCTGGAGTACTGTTGGTTGGGAATTGAAACCCTAGTGCAAACAACTTCTTGTGATTCAGTGTCACTGTGATCAGCCTTCCTCCAGGATATGAATTAAATTTATGTCTCTATGTTTTTTGCAGGTAGCAAGTGGATATGATGATGGAAGTATAAGAATTTGGGATTCGGTACATGGTATTTGTGAGACAACTTTGAACGGGCATAGAGGTGCTACCACTGCTCTTCGTTACAGCAAGACAGGATCTTTGCTTGCATCGGGAAGCAAGGATACAGATATCATCATATGGGATGTTCTTGGAGAATCTGGACTTTTTCGTCTACATGGGCATAGAGGTCAGGTAACTATTTTCAATGCTTCCATGTTTCAAGAATCCTTGAGAATTTGGATCTTTCCTATAGCAGTTTCTTTCCATGTAATTTGATGAATTCTTGTTAACATTTTTCTTTTCATTGTGTTGTGCAGGTCACGGACCTTCTCTTCTTGGATTCTGGTAAGAAGCTTGTTAGTTGCTCGAAGGACAAATTTGTACGGGTCTGGGACCTTGAAACCCAACATTGCATGCAAATAGTTGTTGGCCATCACAGTGAAATTTGGTCCCTGGATGCTGACCCCGAAGAGCATTATTTGGTCACGGGGTCATCTGATCTCGAACTCCGCTTCTATAAAATTTGCCAAAACATGGAGAATGGATCCCTGCATGACGTAAAGCCAAATATCACTGTAGGTGATGGTGATCCTGGACCTAGTAAGTGGGATATTTTAAGGCACTTTGGAGAAATTCAGCGTCAAAGCAAGGATAGGGTAGTTACTGTGAGATTTAATGCTACTGGGAACCTCTTTGCGTGCCAAGGAGCAGGCAAGACTGTAGAGATTTTTAATGTTATGGATGAAAGAGAAGCATTACGAAAAGCCAAGAAGCGTGCTCATCGAAAAAAAGAGAAGACTTTAAAAAGAAGGGGTGAAGTGGCTATTGAAACTAAAGACATGAATTCCGAGTTTGGAAATGAAGGTGAAATCCGTGATGTTACAGTTTCTGATACTTTCAGATTGCTTCAAGTTTTACGAATGAACAAGAAAATTTGCTCAGTTTCCTTTTGTTCCATTGCTCCAAAGAGCAATGGTCTAGCTACCATAGCATTGTCTTTGAGCAATAATGTGTTGGAAGTGTTTACAATTCAACCTGATAAATCAACCAAAACACACTGTATTGAGCTTCCCGGACATCGTTCTGACATTAGAAGTGTTACACTCAACGCTGATAGTACACTTTTGCTGTCAACAAGTTATGATGCTGCAAAGATTTGGAACCCTAGTACTGGTTCTTGCCTTCGTACTATTGAGTCGCAAAGTGGTGTATGTGGGACATTTGTTCCTGGAAACCAATATGCGCTTGTTGGCACCAAAACTGGAAAACTGGAAATTATTGATGTTGGAGGTGGCGTTCGTACAGAAATGACTGATGCTCATACGGACACAATTTGGTCCATTATTTCTGTTCCTGATGGAAGTGGTTTTATCACCGGGAGTGCTGATCACGATATCAAATTCTGGGAGTATCTACTAGTAAAGAAGGATGGTCAAGTACGTTTTTTTTTTTTTTCCAGCGGTCATTTTTCCATTGTTTTTCAAATATTATAGTTAGAATTTATTGACAATGTTTCTCTTCTGCATGATAATTAGTTTTGTCTCGATTGTTTTTCACAACTTGAGCACAACTAGATCAGATGTTGGATGCAACTGTTAGTGCTCTTGCCTTAACAGGCATTGGGCATTCATAATGCAAATCAATTATAAATGAACATGCAATTTATGCAATAAGAAAAAGAAAAATGTATTAAGACTTTGAGAGACAAAAGTCGTCGCTGCTATGTTAGAAAGTAAACATTTGCTAGAGTTTTAAAGATAGGGATTCAGGTTGGGATCAATGATGCCCAGAGTTAATTGTATGACTGCTGGGTCAGCAGTTCTCCCTGTGTGGGTGTACTTGGGCTTACAATTGTGTGTAGGAAAGCCCCAAAAGTTTCTTTGGGGTTTGATGATTGATTGGTTCAAACAACGTCTTGATTCATTAAAAGAAATAGTGTTCTTGCTGCGAGGCCATGTCACTCTTATCAAATCCATATGCGTGTGTCAATTATGCAAAATGTTACGGATGCATGGGGGAGTCCATAAGTATATTGGTATCTTTATCAAATTCATTTCACATCTTATCAGACGTCCATGCTAAGGGAAAACTCTTCGACCACATGACTCTTATGAAATCTACCTTTATCATTGATTACAAGAAATATTCACAGATAAATGGGGTATCCCCAACATTACAGGAGTTAAAAAAGAAAACATGCATTCAGTTAAGGGGAAAAAGGGAAAGGAAAAAAAGTATTCAGTTGTCATGAGCACTGGTGTTGGAAGTTCATTTTTTGGTCTGGCAATGATTGTCATTTTGACTTGTCATTGGTATTGAGAAGTGGCTGTGGATATTTTGGGCAGTTGGTAGAAGGGCAACTGTTGATTCAATTGGGTAGTTATTGGCCACCTCTTCCAGAGTACTTCTAAAGATTGTGGCTGCAATCAATTTGGAGCAACAAGAGAAACTTCGGTTTTACTTGTGGTGCCTAGCCTCTCAGCCAAACTCTCTTTGGGCTCAGGTTTTACGGTGTAATACGGGATCCCGGAAGGAACCTGGGTGCCATAAAGGATCCAGAGGCATAGAGTATCAGGAGCTTGGAAATCCTTTGCCACTTCTCTTTCCCAGTTCAGAAGATTCATAAGATTTCACGCTAGAGAAGGAGATAGGGTGCGTTTCTGATCAGATTTATGGCTAGGAAACTCTTCATTGCGTCATGCCTTCCCAGCCCTGTATTCTCTTGCCTCTAACAAAAACTGCTCTATTGTCGAGGAAATGTTACTTTTAGGAGGCCGAAGAGTCTGGAACTCATCATTTCGAAGAAACCTTGGAAAATAGGAAACCAATCAATTCCAACTACTCTCGAATGCTCTATTCTCACTCTTTATTCCAACACATGGGAGAGACAGAATAGTTTGGACTCTTTTCCCCTCAGGTCTCTTCACGGTAGCCTCTTTTTATAAGAGTCTCACTCAACCCCCCACTTATCCTCTCAATCCCATCTCAGTTTTGGCAAACGTATGGTCAACCATCGCCCCACCTAAGATTCAAACATTCAATTGGATGGCCTGTTCCCAAAGAGCACTCACAACGGACCACCTACAAAAACGAGGGATCTCGATCCCTAATAGATGTGCTCTGTGCTTATGTGAAGAAGAATCCAATCCACACCTCTTTATTCATTGCGACTTTACCCACAAGCTATGGAGCCAGGTGTTGCAACTCTTCGATATTCATTGGGTCACACCCCCATGGCCAGGGCGCTGATATCTTACAAATTGGAGTCACACTGGCCATTGGCTAGAAGAACTTTATGGAAGGCTACTGTGGCGGCTACCATATGGACAATATAGGTACAAAGGAGTATGAAAATTTTTAATGAACTTAAAATGCACCTACCAGCTCTATTCCACAGGGTAGTTTCGCTGGCCTCCTTTTGGGCCGCTAATCACAAGGTCTTCTCGGGAGTATCAAGGAACTTTTTCCTTTGCCAATGGAAAAATATCCTCAACCAAAGGCCACCAAAAGTTTCAAGAGCTAACAATTGGCAACCACCACCAGAAGGCAGCATCAAGCTGAATTTTGATGGTTGCGCCCTAGGGAATCCAGGCACGACAAGTGCTGGGGGGCGTCTTTAGAGACCACCAGCGAAACAGCCTCCTTACCTATTCTGAGTATCTTGGCAATAATGATTCCCAGTACGCAAAAGCTATGACTCTCTTATTGGGTCACAAAAAGTTCAACCCATCTTGAGGCACACACCTTATTGTGGAAGGAGATTCTCAAAACACGCTTTCATGGGCAAGTGGGGTGACCTCTCTCCCATGGCAACTAACTACAATTTTTGATGAAATTACTCACATTTGAAGGGATATGAACGTCTCCTGGAAGCATACATGGAGGACGTCCAACGAGCTCACAGACCTCATGGCAAAGGAGGGAGCTAGATTCCAAGTGGAAGCACAGGCCAAGTCCTACTCTTTTTTTGGTTCAGGACCACAACCGCACTACGTAGACTACCTCGACACGGGCACTCCTCAGCCTTAATCTTATTTTTTGAAAAACCACTGTAAATCATTGTATCTGGGCAGGACTTATAAGCTATTTTTGTACATGACTGACTGATGTATTTTTTATCGAAAGCCACCCTTAGTAGGTGCTCTCGGTCTCTACCACTTCGGTAATTATTACTGTCTTAGTAATACAATGTTAACAGTTCTAAAAAAAAAAACAAACTTTGGTCTTGCTGACACAGGTCATCAAAGTGGGAGGTATGTGAAAGTTGGTCACGGTTTTTATAGTTTAAAATTTTTCTTTTCCTTTACCGGCTAGAACACTTACAAAGCTCCAAAGATTACAAAATAAACTCAAAAGAAAGTAGGAACACAATTTAGATTCTCACTTGCTTCCACTTAATATAACTCTTTATTGCATAAATAAAATTACATAAACAAGGACTTGGGAACAAGAAACACAAAACTGCAGTAAACAAAGTAAAGTCCCAAAAGATTACCTCAACTGTACTTGATACAACCCACTCCGACTCTCCTCCTTTGATGGCACATGAGGTCTTTCTCTGATCTCACAACTATAGGAAGCCTTGGCTAGAAACCCTTAAGCAATATTAAGAGCAATGGACAAGATCGGGCCTTGGCCCTTTCATCTATGTGTGTGGAGCGTGTCCCCTTTTTTTTTCTCTAAAATATTCTAAGCATGAGAGGGCTGAGATGAGGCTAGAGAGATGAGAGACTGGGGTGCCACTTCTGGAGAGAGAGAGAGGACTTGTGTTGTAGAGATTTGGCCCCCCCACAATCAAACAACAGATAGACTTGTGGTTAGGGTTAGGGTTTCTAGGGTTGTCCATCTTATGGAGATTTGATCTAGACCATTGATCAAAGGAAACCTGTGGGGCGAGAGATCTTAGCCTTACAATCCATAGATCAACCATCATGATTTAATAGAAGGTGCTAGAACCTTAACTTTCAGCTTCGTTAACCTAATCCCATTAATTATTTAATACATGAAAAATATAATTCTCTTTCCTTTTATTTTCATTCATTCTCTACACATGCCTCTTTGAAAAGTCAAATATCTTTTATTTCAAAACCTTTCTTATTTCATTTCGATTGATTGAGTGGCCAACTTGCATGCCACTTAATAAGAAAGAAGGGTGCTAGAAGTGGGGCGTGCCCACCCAATGGCGCTAGTGGGCCCCACGCACCTCCCCACATGTTCTCTTTTAGTGGGGCCCATGGAGAATAATGGGCCCCCATGTGCATTAATAATTTTAGAATTAATAAAATGATTTTTAGCAAACATTTACTATTTTATTTTTCTATCTAAATTATTATATACCTGAAAATGCAGTTTAAGCCTTTTATAAATTAGTTTTTAGAAAATAAAATATCCAGAGACTTTTAAAAAGTTGTTTTATTAATCTAAAAGTCATGTAATCAAATTAATTATTTCTAAATTACTTTGATGGAATTCGGATTCAACTTCATTAAGGAAAATGCAAAAATATTGCAGCACTATTTCTACGAGAGACTATGAACCACACTCACTTTCTCAACTGACCCAATAGTTTCCATGACCCACAGTTCATCACAGGGGTTTATGATTGGGCTACCAAAGTCAGACAATAGGTGAAGGAACACAATCCTAGTCTATGGACTATAGGTTCCTCATTAGGGACAAAACTAGGTCACATAGACTGTTGCACACACATCGCAATTGGCATATGGGGGCTATCTCTCGCACATGTACATGGAACACCCTCAATAGTATTTTGCTTCCCAATACGGCTATCATATGTACATGCCATGTGATGGTAATGATGAGGATTTGACCATTGTCCCTTTAGGCCTACCAACCACACACAAGGGTCACAAAGTCCCTTGGCTAACTACCTTGGGCATCTCTGACTTCATCAAGGGGTAACCCTGCTAACCCTTCTTAGCTGTGCTATACGCCTAGGCATCTTAAGGTTTTACTACTCAACTGACCTAGCTCGTGAAACCTGGTTTGAGTCTTGCCAACTTCGGTCCCTCTGGACCATACTCCTACTGGAGTCCATTGTTCCACTATGTTAAAATTGCTTACATGATCTCATGAGGCATTTGAATGACCACAAATAGCCAACAAAATAAAATTGGATGGTTGCTTGGCAAACTGAACTTGAAGTCTTGGCACCAATAATATTGCTGGTCGGACCTGGTTTCGAGGGTCGGGAGAGAACCCTCTCTTAGACAACCGCGGGGTCGCGGGCGCAGGGGTGGGTGCGGCGGCTCCTGTGTGAAGATAGGTTCCAACAACGAGAGAGATTTTTGACGGCGGGGGCAGTTTGGGATGCTAATCTTGCCGCTTGGGGTTCGGGGGACATGTCCAGGCGGTCAGCCCTTTTAGATCAATCACAAAGCCCTCCCGCTGTGTGCCAGCGCAGTTTGGACAAGGACTCTCTTCAGGCTTGCAACGTCTCTACTCTCTCTCCGTCGCTTAGAGCCGGTGTGGGATCCAGCTATTTCTCCTTGTGACTATCCCCTCGAGGGGTTTGGTTGGCTGGCCGATGAAGGGGTGTGAGAGAATCCAAGGGTTGGGGCCCTTGGGTTCGCTCGTGTCCGTGCGTCGGTTGCTGCGCGGGGCAGACGATGCGTTGCATAAGGGGAGAGAGAGAGAGAGAGATTGGGGCATGACCCAGTTTAGGAGAGAGAGGGAGAAGGGGCCGTGCACTTAGAGGTGTTTACGGACCCGTGCGCTCAGGGGTATTTTCTCTCCCTCAAAGTTTTCTCTCTCCTCTTGGTGGAATTAAGGACTCAGAAGCAAACGGCGAGAGGAACAAACGTAATGCCTTTGTTTTATAATGGGTAAATGCTTCGCCCAAAGGTCTAGGGGTCAAATGTTCCAGCCCTTTTACAAGTGAGCTAAGCTTGTTTATATAGAGGATTCACAAAACAGGGGTGAACGCTAAAAAACAAAGCTTAATTACAATTTAAGAAATTAGGAATAAATCTCGAATTAGGTGCAATGACCAAAATGCCCTTGAGATTTTTTTCTCTAATGACAAAACCGTCCTTGCCTGGAGGTCGTTCCGCCATGGCCAGATCTTGGAAGCTTTTTTCGCAGCTTGTGGCGATGGTTCAAATGATTTATCTGCATATCTTCAATTTCCTTGCGATTCTGAGCATTTTGCTGCCCTTTAATCGTGCTGGGTGGTCTTTCTCCCACGGGGTGGAAGTCTGGCTAGATTCGTGAACTTTGTTCGCTAATGTAGTTCGACTTGTGATGTTCTGCCTCCTGGCTCTGCTTGCAAATGAGAGAGGAGACAGTCACAGTCATTTTGCACCAAGTTTGGGCTGATTTGGTCCTCGTTTGCATTTTTCCCTAATTTGGGAGGTCGCTGGAAAGTGGGATTCCGGCAACAGAGCAGATTTGCTTCTTTTGTGACCTGGGGACTTGCATCCATCAGACCTTGGATTAAATGCAAGAGTTATACCAGTTTGCAGCTCTTTGCGAGGTGGTTGTATTGAACTCGTCCCCTCGGTGATCCGATGCATGGATGTCGAGCTGTGCTTCACTGGATTCGAGGCTTCTTCTTCTTAAACCCTGGTTTTTTTGGTTTTACGGGCACCTTCTTTCCAGGAGAAATTTGACTCTAGGTTGTGCCATAGTGCATGCCTTAGGTCAAAATGACGAGGCTGGCGTGATCTAGAACCTATCTGGATCTGGGCTTTTCTTGGTTTCAGCGGAAGGCGCCATGGGTCTTTGAAGTTGCTCACGAAACACGATGTCACAGTCTCCATGCTTGGGGACTGGTTTGGTGAAGCCACACTGCGCTAGTGTGAAACCCACCTGTTGCGAGGCCGCATGGGCGTAGACCCCTTTCGGGTGGTCCAATTGAGCTCAAATTTGGTCCCCGGTGCGATGGCGGTGGTCTGGTATAGCTTTGGAGCTGCTAGCATAGAGCTACAGTTGTAAGGTCCTTCCTTGGTGCGATGGCACCGTACCCAGGTCATATGGCTCGAGGCTTTATTTTTGGGTACAACTTTGGCCTGCTGGTGTCTTGTATACTTGCAGGGCCAGGCTGTTGCCGGCTCTCTCGTTGTTCCCGTGGGTGGTGTAAGTACATCAAAAATGACATACAACAATTGCTCCCATTTCTTTGAATGTTGAGAAAGTCCAAAAGTTGCCGAAAAATAGCACTTTTGTTTAAAATATGCAAATCCTCAATGAAGCTATGATCGCCTACCCTTGATGGCACTATGATCACCCATGAAGGTTACACATTACATTAGATAGGTTGCTATGAAATCTTAGTAATAAATTTGACGAGGAAAAAGCCTATGACACGTCTTTGGTCAGTCTTAGTTGAAGTTCTTCTCGAGATGGGGTTTAGAAGAACGTGGAGAACCTGGATACGTGGTTGTATTTTTGCATCTAGCTTCCCCATCCTAATCAGTGGTACTCCGGAAGGGTACTTCCTGACATCCCAAGGCTTAAGCCAAGGACATCCCGTTCGCCTTCTCTGTGATAGTTGCATAATCTTTAGCGTTTCCATTTCAGGGCCATTCCAAATAGGGTTTCTGTGGGGCTTCAAAACTTCCAGGCACGGGCCCAAAATCACTCATCTCCAAAACGCGACGACACACTTGTCTTTTGTGATGCGACCTATTTTGGGGGTTTACGTTAGCTCTTCTGAAGTTGCATTGAAGTGTACCCAGGGATGTTTGCCCAAATAAAAGCCTACGGGCGTTGGAATTGATCACAACACTTCATGCACCCTTGCCCAATGGTTTGGCTGGCTGTGGGCTTGAGTTGATCCTGTCCATCTACCTGTAGCTACCACTCTGTTAAAAAATTGTGCAAACAGTTATGGAATGGAATACTTCCTAATCATTTAGCGCAGGGTGGCAGCTTGGAAGGGGAGATTCTTATCCCTTGGCCAGTGACATTCCCATCTTCCAAATGTCCAATTCCAAATGGCAATCTTAACATTCAACAAAATCAAGAGTATTATGAGTGGTGTTTTGTGGGTGTGGCTGGAACAAAAAGTTTCCACTTTTTAGCATGGATATTCAAACCCAGAAAGAGGGTGGACTTGGAATCAGAAAACTATGGGTTAACAGTATTGTATCACTTTGCAAATGATGGTGGCACTCGTCCACACAGCGGGACCAATTGTGGGTTTCTGTCATCCGCAATAAATACACTACCATCTCCTCAGGTTATTCTTGAAGGGGACACCAAAATTCACGCGAGGGTTGGAGATAGTTGAGATTTTGGAAAGAGGCATGGCTTGGTGACTGAGCCCTGAGGAAACAATGGCCCAGAATTCTGAGAACTGTGATCAACATTGATGCCATGGTGGTGAAGGTTTAGGAGACCACTTGTTGAGAAGAATCAGGGAACTTCATCGAATTGCTTCGATCTTTACACTCCCTCTTTCTCCCTCCGTGGTCAAAGGCAAATTGATGTTGACCTTAGCAAATGCAGGAGGATCTCAATTAGTGTTGGGACCCTGGTAAATACCGCTAACACGATCTTCATGATGTACAAAGCTTGGTTTATCCGTATCTCCCAATTGTGCACTCCTTCAATTGGACCTTCCTAACCAACTAAGCCCTCGCTATTAACCATCTTCAAGTGGCTTCCACCTACTCATTTGATGCTCCATGTGCAAGGAAAGGGAAGAGACCAGCGACCACTTCTTCTTGGCTTATGCACTTGCTGCAAAATTATGGGCCTACCTACTACAATCATTCAAGTGATGTTGGGGGACACCACTGGTGATAAGATAGTTTTCTGTGTTTTACTGCATTGACTCAAGCCGCTTATTCCTACATTGTCCTGTTACGACACAAATTTGATGTCATGTCTTGAGACTGTTTGATTTCACAGGGCAGAAGCTGCTTCTATAGGGGCCTTGTGGAGCAATGGTCTTCCCCTGTACTGCTGTTCTCATTCTTTGGAGAATGTCCTTGCTGTTTCATGGGTATTACGGGTAAAGAGCAACAATAGATCTTTGAATGACTAAAAAATGGAAGCGAGTAGAATACATGAGCACATTAGGAAAACAATACTCAACACTGAGGGATCAAGAAAGAATTTTTGGGGCTTTCAGCGGCAGGTTTTGGCACAATTTGCAAGGAGATTTCAAGAGCAGAGGCATCCAAGAAGTGGAATCAACTACCAGAAGGATACGTGAAGCTGAACATAGATGCCACTTTGAAAGGGAATCCGAGACTAGCAGGTGCTGGTGGCATCTTGAGGGACTAAAATCGCATCTTGGTAATTATTGTTTGGGCTTAGTGATATGGTGTGTAGATGGAAATTTATGGACTTTGAGGGAGATTCCAGCACGGTTATCAGGTGCAGAGATGGAAAGGACAAATGGCCCTGCTCGCTAAATGTTTTTGAAAAAATTTGGGCCCTTGGGTGTTACACACTTCCTTTGAGCGTATTTGGTGTTAACTAGACGAGGTTATTGCGCATCATTCAGAAAGAAGAAGAGGTTGATGTACTTGGAGTGGTATCCAAATCAATGCTTGTGGTAACATGGTTCTAAGGCATAGTGTGTGTATAGGGAGCGTCTAATAATATATAGATAAGATCTGATGTAAAACGGCTGAATAATGTAGGCTGAAAGACATACACGCTTCTAAATAGACTTTGTTTGTGAAATGCAGTATTCCCATTTTTTTTTTTTAAAAGAAAATTGCTGGGGGTTGTGTGCTAGCTAGAATTAGTCATTTTGAAGCTTGGTTTTAAGGCTAATATCTCAAACGTAAATTTTATTGGATGGTTCTGATGTTAGAAATGTATCATTTGTGTAAAAATATGGAGAGCTTTTATTGTTTAAATAAATTTTGCGGATAGTTGCATAGTTTATTGGAAGCTTGTTTCTGGAATATTTTTGGGCATTGGTGTCAGGTTTGTCAATTTCTCCATGAGTGAAAGCTTTTATTGTTTAAAGAAATTTTGCCGATAGTTGCATAGTTTACGCAGTTGTCTTTGTATACTTTTTTCTTTCTTGAACGGATTCACACACACACAAACACATATACTATTGTTTGGATACATTATATAATATTTATGTATGCGTGTCTGTTCATGCTCTCAAATGATATGGATGTGGAATCTGTAACTTTGACAAATGAATATATGCATGATTATTCATGTTTCATCTGGGTGTCATAAATCTATAGCCAACGCATGATACTTAAAATTTGTCTTAAAAACTTATTTTCTTTGAAGTATTAACTGTTGTTACTTTAGTTCACTTAGTTGCAGTTATGTGGTTTTCTTTAGCGATTTCATGCCATTCTTTATCAGCTAAACTTTCACAATGTATTTCCTTCACAGGCTTCTGAACAAATGACAGTGCAAAATGTTTGGACTTTAAAAATGAAGGAGGCTGTTCTTGCAGTTAGAGTCAGTCCTGATGCTAAATACATGGCTGTTTCTCTGTATGATAATACCGTCAAGGTTTGTTTATGATTCTTTTCTTTTTGCCTTTATATAGACACCAGATGACAAGTTCTCCATTTCAACTTTTGGTCTTTATGGTGGGGTTTTCTTTCTTGTGTTAACTCATTGCCTGTGTGGTATATTAATACAGAAAGAAACAAGACTGCCATCATGAGAGGCTTTTGATGTGTTGCATGATATGAAAGGATTCTTGATAAATATTATGCAAAGAAACAAATGTAGTTAAAATAATTGAAATGAAAACATTTGTGTTGAAGAGGTATCCCTGGACAGTGTGTTTGATTTAACTGGGGACCATGTGTGTGTAGATAAGGAGATACTCAATGAATGACACATGATGGTAAATACATAAGCAATTATGGTAAAGTTGAAACAGTGATATGGCATTTAATCATATTTGAAGAGAATGCAGCACATGACTAAGAAATTTTTATACTGACTTGTATGTCCTAAATGTGAACTGAAACACTATACGGTAAGGCAGACATAAGAAACATAGAAAATGCATATTTACTCATCTCTACAGATGCAAAGTGCATTAATATGGAGCATGACTTGTTGATCTCTGTGGCAGAGTTATCATTAACTAGCAATCCTGCTTAAATTTTGTTTTTTTGTAAGCACTTTAGAACATTGGAGTTGATTTAATTTGGTCTACTCTCTCTCTCTCCCCCCACCCCAGCAACTCTTATCTCTCACTGGGATCGCCCAATAAAACAATAATTCAATGAACAGATTTGGCAACTTTTGGTTAGGGTTTCTCACCCATGCTGGGGCATCATGTATGATTATTCAAGAAAGAGGTTGGTTGCAAAAAAGAAGAAACTTAACTGACATAGGGGTTAATAGAAGGTGTTTTGGCTATTGGGATTCTAAACTACTTGGTTTCAGCTCCCAACGTAGCTTGAATTCCTTTACAATAAACAGAAAAAATGTGATGCTTAGATTTGATGAGATTCTGGAGAGGTGCAGAACTATATAAATGGAGCAGGTTTATTGGTTGGTTACAGCACTATTATGCTTCAAAACTCAAATGTTGGAGATTCTTAGATCATAGGGCTGGAGGAAAAAATTATATCGAAGTTGTAGGTTTCCAATTTTAACATTGAATTATGAATCCTGATGGTATCATTGGTGCTTCTATTGGTTTATTGCTTATGCAGTATGGGAAATCAGTAGAAGTTGAAGGAAGCTGAACCTTTTCTTTTTGAGAAAGGTGTATACTTTCTATAAGAATTTCCCTGTCCTTTACATATTGTGAAATTCAAAATTGTAAATTTCTCGGGGAAGAAATTCACATTGTAGTGTATGGTTAGTCATGTGGCTGCATGTTTCTGTTTTATCATAATTTGGCTCTTTGCTAATGGTCTTGTTAATTAGATTGACCTGTAACATTCTCATTTGAATATAAATTATTTTCTGTTGTGATGTCCGTTGACAACCACATACATCTATGCAGGTGTACTTTTTGGACAGTCAGAAGTTTTTTCTATCTCTGTATGGTCACAAGCTCCCTGTACATTGCATTGATATCTCATCGGATGGTGATTTGCTAGTCAGTGGTTCGTTAGACAAAAATGTGAAGATCTGGGGCTTGGATTTTGGGGATTGCCACAAATCCATATATGCTCATACTGATAGGTCTTCTTCTCTCCTTTTTATCTTTTTAAATCTGGAACCTTATTTATTTTAGAACAAAACATCAGTTTCAAGGGAAACATTAAAATTCTTTCTGGCTGATTGGTGATGGACTGATTATCTGCTTAACAGTGTCATGGCAGTGCAGTTTGTGCGTAACACGCATTATTTTTTTAGTGCGGGGAAAGATCGGCTAGTGAAGTATTGGGATGCTGATAAGTTCGAGTTGCTTTTGACATTGGAAGGGCATCATTCTCCTGTTTGGTGCCTTGCAGTTAGCCATAATGGTGATTTTGTCATCAGCGGGTCCCATGATAGGTCCATCCGCCGCTGGGATCGTACTCAAGAGCCATTCTTCATTGAGGCAGTTTATTCATTCCCTACCTTTGTACATTTTTTTTGTGAACAAAAAGAGAATATAAATATCTTTGTATACATCCTTATAATGATATTACAAAGGGACCAAAGGGAATTACTTGTTTGTTCAGGAAGAGAGGGAGAAGAGGCTAGAGGAAATTTTCGAATCTGGATTGGGAGATGCAGTGGAAAGCGTCAATGTTCTGAAAGAAGATCCTCCTGAACAGGAGGCTGTGGGTGTGGCTGGGAAACAGACAAAGGAAACCATTAGTGCAACCGACTCAATTATTGATGCGCTCGACATGGCAGAGGAAGAAGCTAAACGCATTCGCATGCATGAGGTACTTGATCTATGTTTTACTCATAAGATTGTGGGGAACTACTGGTGGCTTTTTTAATCTTCGGTATACAAAAACAAGATGGTAGTTTGAGGACAATGACAGATGAGGATGCTTAATTCCAAAACGTAAAAAATTATTTCATTTTGAGCCTTCTAATTCAGTCGCAGGTTACATGATCGTGTGTTGTATTCCCAACACTTCTCTGTTCAATACAATTATTCTTATATGATCCAGGTGGGGGGAAGAGGTGCACAGGTAGCTGATCTCCCACCAAATCTTATGATGCTGGGACTTTCACCATCAGATTATGTTCTCCGGGCTGTTTCTTCTGTTCAAACCAATGACCTGGAGCCGACATTACTGGTAACTTTGTAGCTCATCTTTAATATGTTTTTTCATTACAATATATATATTGGTTTGCTGTTGAGGTACTTAGAAGCAAGCCTTATGCATGCCATCATTGAAACATGAAGTTTTAGGTTTTGTTATATTACTGTCGACCAAGTGTGTTTGTGTGCTATGATATTGTACATATGCCAAAGAACATGGATTTATAAAGTTTTCTAATCACCTACTGACTTGCATAATCATATGAGGGATATTTATCAAAATACACTGGACTTTTTAACAATTCAACAGTTTACCCTTTCAACTATTCAGCTCATGTTCATGTGGATTTTGATGGGTATTTTGATTGTAAACCAAAAGATAGGGCAAAATGTAAACTGTGAATCTCTCACATGTATTTTAATAAATTTCACATAATTTACTTCCACTCAGAAAGAGTGAGAGACCTGTCATCATTTCTTACATCCAGAGACTTTGGTTATCTATAGAGATTGTTTTCTCCATTTTTAGGATGATATAAACTTATGCAATTTCTGTTATGATGTCCTGTTAGTTCTATATTCTGGATTTCTTCACTTATGTCTAAATCAGTTTGTAATAGATATGAGGTTCTTGTCTTCCTTTTGAATTGTAACAGTATGACGTAAATTTTATCATGGGCTTTCCATGACATCATGTTCTTTGCTCACATCCATATACACCTTGTCATGTCTTAAAAATCATCTTGGTTGAGCCTCGAGCATGTGATATTGTGCCTTTTGGAAATCTTTCTTGTATTACTTGCTTCCCATAGTCATTGATTAGTTAGCAACAAAAGAAAGGCCTTACCGATTGAATTGAGATTGGTATTAATTGGGCAGGACTTCGGAAAGACTCTTAATGAATTGAGGAGGGTCCTCTTAAGAAAAGGGTTGGTCAGCTTGTTTGGTGTTTGGTAGCAAACTTCAAGGGTTCAAACCCGTTGACTCCCTCATCCATATTAGGACATCTAAGACTGGGCCAAAGCTTAAAAGACGATTGGGTCCTCTAGAATTTATTAGTTGAGGGTGTTAGCTGTTGAGAGTTGTCTGTTTTGTTATAATGTAATTCTATACCTGCAGGGTTAATGCTCTATAGTGACCTAATTCAGCTTTTCTTTTCTTCTTTTTTTTTTCTTTTTTCGCAAAATGAATCTGCTGTTAACATCTATGAGACTGGATGTCAGTTCCAAGGACCTTGGAGGCTGTGCAAACCATCATTTGTCTCTGTCGGTTGTCTTCACTTCCAAGGACCTTGTTTTACTAGTCTTTAATGGTTTTGTGAACAAAATTATCAATCTACAACGTGTGTTAGTAATGCTTTCACAACAAACTCTTCCACCTATTTTGTGTGTTACTTTTTCTTGAATGTTGTAGCTCATCTGGTAAGTTTTTTGTCTTTTTGGGTGAATAAACTGGCATTCAAACTGTAGATATTAGTAATTTGGATATACCTTCTCAAGAAATGAGGGAAAAGAATGATGTGGACCTTATATCCTATTTTATACGTCAGGAACCCAAACGCTGTTGGACACTGTAGCTTTCCTTTGTTCACTGTTACACTCAATTGGTAGAATATTGTCTCAGAGGAAACATGAATACTGTGATAATGCTGAAGCTGCCGTCTTATTTTTCTTTAGATAAAACTACGCCCCTTACAATCATGTTTAACGTTAGTAATGTACTTGTGTGATGGATTCCATCGTTCCCTTATCTAAGTTGATTGTCAGCCCTTATTGGAAAATTAAGATGCCCTTGACTTATATTTTCCAGGAGAGGTAATGTTTTTGGTACCGATTGGAAGTACTTCTTTTGTGCAGTCTTTACCATTCACTGATGCTTTGAAGCTTATGGCATATTTGAAGGACTGGACACTTGGTCCTGATAAGGTATTCTTTATTAGAAATACTCTCTTTTGGTTCTCTGTTTTATGTTCTGCTCAATTCAATTCCCTAAAGCAGGTGCCATCTCAAGTCTTGCAGTTGCAGTGACTTGGGTGATTCTTTCAACTCATCCCACAAATGCATTAACAAATGACTGCTTAAATGCCAAAGTGATAATCCTAGAATGCTGAGTACTTCTAAAAGAAGCTACAATTTGTTTCTTTCCTTTGTTTCTTTTAATGTGCCCTATTGTGATTCATGCACTAAAACTCACAACAACATTGCATCTTTCTATCTCCATGTCTATTCTTTGCCACATGTTTCTAATTGCCTATTATATGTTGTTCTTGTTTTTCAAGTCCTATTTGCAGTAACTACAAGCTAGGAAATGGAAGGGTGAATCTTTCTGTTGCCAGCAGGTTACCCAACACATAGTGTAGCCATGATTTGATCGCTAATGACCGACAAGTCGAGCTTGATTGTAGTCACCTGTTAATCGCTTTTGAAATTAACTCTTATTTCTCATGGTTCTTTTTGGTCTATATGCAGGTGGAACTTGTTTGCAAAATTGCCACATTTCTTGTTCAGACACATCATAACCAGTTGATTGCTACTCCCGCAGCCAGACCAATCTTGACTGCTCTGAATGGCGTGCTTCATAAAAGGGTAAAAGTAA